TCTTTCCGTTAACCCTGTATTCTGCTTTCAAGTTTGTCCTTCCAAAATGAATCACCTCACACTTTTCAGGGTTAAACTCCATCTGCCACTTGTCAGCCCAGCTCTGCATCCTTTCAATGTCCCTTTGTAACCTAGAACAGCCCTCCGCACTATTCACAACTCGAACCAACTTCGTATTGTCTGCGAACTTACTAATCCACCCTTCCACTTCTACATCAAAATCATTTTTAAAAAATCACAAATAGAAGAGGACCCAGAACAGATCCTTAGGGTACACCACTCGTAACTGAGCACCATGTTGAATATTTTGTCCACTACCACCCTTTGTCTTCTAAGGGTCAGCCAATTCTGAATCCAATCTGCCACATTTCCCAATATCCCATGCCTCCTTACTTTCTGCATGAGCCTACCATGGAGAACCTTACCAAACGCCTATCTTAAATCCATGTATACTACATGCACTGCTCTACCTTCATCCACGTGTTTAGTCGCCTCTTCAAAGAATTAAATAAGGTTTGTGAGGCAAGATCTACCCCTCAAATCCATGCTGACTATCACAAATCAAACTGTGCCTATCCAAGTGATCATAAATCCCATCTTTCAGAGCCCTTTCCAATAATTTGCCCACCACTGATGTAAGACTAACTGGCCTGTAATTTCCAGGGTTATCCCTATTCCCTTTTTTGAACAAGGGAATGACGTTTGCCTCTCTCCAATCTTCCGACACTATACGCATGGACAGTGAGGATGAAAAGATCATCGCCAAAGGCCCTGCGATCTCTTCCCTTGTTTCCCATAGAATCCTTGGATAAATCCCATCAGGCCCGGGGGACTTATCTATCTTCAACTTCCTCAAAATTCCTAGTACATCCTCCTTACTAACATCCACCTCCTCTAGCCTACCAGCCTGTTTCACACTGTCCTCCTCTACAACTAGGTCCCTCTCAATTGTGAATACCGAAGAAAAGTATTCATTAAGGACATCTCATATCCCTTTAGGTTCCGTGCACAAATTCCCTTTACAATCTTTGATCGGCCCCACCCTTTCTCTGGTCATTCTCTTATTCTTCACGTACGTATAAAAAGCTTTGGGATGTTCCTTGATTCTATTTGCCAAGGTTTTCTCATGCCCCCTTATAGCTCTCCTAAGCCCTTTCTTCAGCTCCTTCCTGGATAACTTGTATCCCTCTAGAGCCTTTTCTGATCCTTGTTTCTTAAACCTTATATAAGCATCTTTCTTCCTCTTAACCAGTCATTCGACCTCTCTTGAGAACCAAGCCTCCCTCTCTCGACCGCATCTTCCCTGCCCACTAGGGACAAACATATCGAGCACATGCTTTATGCATTTCTTAAACAATCTCCACATTTCTATAGTGCTCTTCCCTGACAGCATCTGTTCCCATTTTATGTTACCCAGTTCTTGCCTAACAGAATTATAATTACCCTTCCCCCAATTATAAACCTTACCCTGCTGTATGTACCCAGCCTTTTCCATTACTATTGTAAAAGTAACAGAGTTATGATTGCTACCGCCAAAATGCTCTCCTACCAACAGGTCTGACACTTGGCCCGGTTCATTGCCAAGCACCAAATCTCCAAAGTGGCCTCACCTCATGTTGGTCTATCTACATACTGTGTCAGGAATCCTTCCTGAATGCACTGGACAAAATCCGCTCCATCTAAACTATTACAACTAAAAAGTTTCCAATCAATTTTTGGAAAGTTGAAGTCACCCATGACTACAACCCTGTGACTTCTGCACCTTTCCAGTATCTGCCTCCCAATCCGCTCCTCCACTTCGTTACAACTATTAGCGGGTCTGTAAAAAACCCCCAACAAAGTGCCTGCTCCTTTCTTGTTCCTGACCTCAACCTAAACTGACTCTGCAGACATATCATTCTTGAACTGCCTTTCAGTAGCTGCTATACTAGCCCTGACTAGCAATGCCACTCCCCCGCCTCTTTTACCACCCGCCCTCTTTCTTTTAAAGCATCTAAATCCTGGAACTTCCAACAACCATTCCTGTCCCTGAGTTACCCAAGTTTCTGTAATGGCCACAACATCGTAGTTCCAAGTACTGACCCATGCTCTGAGTTCATCCGCCTTATTTCTGATACTTCTAGCATTGAAGTATACACACCTCAAACCATCTCTGTGTCCACAATTACGCTCTATCGACCGCATTTCTTTATTAACAACCTCACTCCCTGTTGTGTCTGTTGGAAGGCTGAATACCTGATCCTCTGAATTACAAATTTGGTTCCCCACCTCCTGCCAATCTATTTTAAACCATCCCGTATAGCTAGAGCAAACCTCCCTCCCAGGATATTTGTACCCTTCCGGTTCAGGTGCAAACCATCCTTACTGTACAAGTCCCACCTTCCCCAGAATGTGCTCCAATTATCCACATAATGGAAGCGCTCCCTCCTACACCAGCCCTGTAGCCACTGTTTAGCTGTACTCTCTCCCTATTTCTTACCTCGTTATCACATGGCGCTGGTAGTAATCCAGAGATAACTACCCTGTTTGTCCTGGACTTCAGCTTCCAACCTAACTCCCTGTACTCATTTTTCACATTCTCAGTCCTAGATGTGCAACTTCATATGTGCAACTTCAGATACAAGTGTAAATTAGAACACAACATGAGGGTTTCTTGATGTCTGATCCAGTCGACTGGCTTAAATATATTTAGATAAAATGGCAATTACAATTCAAACAATTTTGTTTAGTCCACATTGGTTTTCTGAACTTGCCTCAAGTAGTGGTCAGGTGATTGCTACAGCCATGAAAGGTCCATGATTTTTCCTATTTAAAAATCTCTCTAGTCCATTAACATCTCAGGTATTAAATCAGATGATAGAAGTTGGAAAAAAAAAGAGAAAACATTGGCTGGAGGTTGAAAATTGATAGTCCATATTTTATCACCATGACAACATTCATGACTGTTTTCCTAAATTCCAGCCTCAGTAAACTTGAGGTTATCCAAACCTCTGCTGCCAGTGCCTTAACGTGCACCAAATCACATTCGCCAATCACCTGCATTTGCTGACCGATACTGTTCCCAGTTAAACAATGTCTTGACATTGAAATTTTCATCCTTGTTCTCAAATCTCTCATATTCTAACCCAATGCTACCTTCGCAATCTTCTCCAGTCCCCACAACAATAAGAAATATCTCCACTCTTCTAATTCTAGCCTCTTGCAGTCCTGATTTCAATTGCTCCACAACTGATAGCCATACTTTCCGTCACTTAGGATCCAAGCTCTAAAATACCCTCGCTACATTTCTCCACCTCTCTAACTCACTTGCCTTAATTTAGACACTGATCAAAATCTCTCTCTTTGACCAAGATTTTATCATCTGGTCTAATATCTCCTTATGTAGCTTAGTGTCATTTTTTTTGTTTTGCCCTGCTCCTGTGAAGTGGACCACTTTTTTTTTTTTTAACATGAAAGGCATTATATTGTTGGTGGTGCTTCCCTATATATACTGAACACATCTAATTCTACCTCTCCATCATCTCATGACCCTTTCAGGCTGCTTGTGTGACAATAGCCTAATTCCTCGAGCTAGACAATTCCAAGATTGAAGCAAATATATGTAGTTCTTGCTGCAGTGTAGACCCTTTAAGGCCGCCATTCAGTCCTACCCCAGCCACTGCTTGTGGTAGAACATACAGACTGCCATTCATAAACCCGATTTTACCCTTACCAATTTCTGATTTCATATCCTTTTTGTCATAAAGAAAATCTATTTTCACCACTATAACCATGCTCATCTCCATGTTTGTTGAACCATTGCATACATCACATAGATCAGTGCATAGATCACTGAAAGTTGCCACCCAGGTTGATAGCGTTGTTAAGAAGGCGTACAGTATGTTAGGTTTTATTGGTAGAGGGATTGAGTTTCGGAGCCATGAGGTCATGTTGCAGCTGTACAAAACTCTGGTGCGGCCGCACTTGGAGTATTGCGTACAGTTCTGGTCACCGCATTATAGGAAGGATGTGGAAGCATTGGAAAGGGTGCAGAGGAGATTTACCAGGATGTTGCCTGGTATGGAGGGAAGGTCTTATGAGGAAAGGCTGAGGGTCTTGAGGCTGTTTTCGTTAGAGAGAAGAAGGTTAAGAGGTGACTTGATAGAGACATACAAGATGATCAGAGGACTAGATAGGGTGGACAGTGGGAGCCTTTTTCCTCGGATGGTGATGGCTAGCACGAGGGGACATAGCTTTAAATTGAGGGGTGATAGATATAGGACAGATATCAGAGGTAGGTTCTTTACTCAGAGAGTAGTAAGGGCGTGGAATGCCCTGCCTGCAAAAATAGTAGACTCGCCCACTTTAAGGGCATTTAAATGGTCATTGGATAAACATATGGATGATAATGGAATAGTTTAGGTTAGATGGGCTTCAGATTGGTTTCACAGGTCGGCGCAACATCGAGGGCCAAAGGGCCTGTACTGCGCTGTAATGTTCTATGTTCTATGTTCTATTGCTGTTGAAACTCTCATTCCAAGCCTTTGTCACCTCCAGACTTGACAATGGATTGCAATGCTCTGCTATACCCTAACATGAAGCTACTGCCTCTACTGGAGAGATTAGCAAAGATGCATTAGTAAAAGCACTTAACACCTTGCATATAAAATATCATCCTTTTTACTTGTAAATAAATTAGATGTGTAATCATCAATTAAACCTCTGATTTCCTTTAGGTACTTACAGTGGACTCTCCGCGTTTCTTTGTAGTGGGTTTTGTGCTTTGTTCACTTGGTTCTGCTATTATTGACTCTTGGGTTATGATCTGGTTAATTAAAAAAAACTGTTTAAAAATTTTATTCACATTCTTTAACTAAAATAAATTTTAAAAATAAATTAAAAATCTATGGCATATATAAAAATATTTAGTCAGAATTCTTCCATTTAGTGCTGTGGTGCAAATTGCTCATCACTATAATTCATTGAGGTTACAAAGGCATACAGAAAAATAGCTTTGGTTCACCATCTTATTGGAAAATATTACGTACAACGGTCACACATTATTAAAACAAGCTTAAAATGTACCTTTGAACTTACTTTAAGGTGCAATTCACAATTTGGTTTTAATTATATTATTTCGTGGAAGTTGAGCATCACTGAAAAGGCAAGAATTTGTTGCCCATTCCTAGTTGCCCTTGAGGTGGTAGTGATGGTGAGTTGCCTTCTCGAACTTTTGCAATTCATCTAGTGCCTTAGTATACCCAAAGTGTTGTTAGGAAGCACTGTCAGGAATTTGGGTATTCCTACACCAGACAGACAGCCGTGATTTTAAACACAGGCAACTGACATTCTCAAGGAAAATTAGGGACAGACGCAAAATATTGGTCTTACAAGCCATGCTCACATTCATGAAACAAATAAAGTGATATGTGGTAGGTAACTGTACTATCAGAAATTCCTCCTTGACCCAAGATGAACATTAGGGAGTGTTTGAGAGTGCTAATGGTTGACATACTCTCAGGACTTCTCCCTAGCAAATGCCCTTGTGCTACAGCATGGTAGAACAGTTCAGATTCAAATTCACTATATGGCAAATAGCAACATCAAACAACTCCAAGGCACAGTATCCTAAGCACCTTGTTGTTTCATCCAATACAATTTCAAAAGCATGTCTCACTAATTTTACCCATACTGTAAACGTTTACTCAATATAATTTGAACAGTGGTCTTTTAGAGCTTTGTTGTTTTATTTTTCACAAACTCTTTTTTCTCCTCTTTGAACAGTAAAATAAGTAAAGTAAGTTAATCAATCTCTCAACCAGACTTGCCTTTGGCATAATGCTATCATGCAGTAGGAGATGGTGCTACTGTTATTATAACTGTAACTGTGCTGAAGCAAATCTCAGGGATTTCTGCAGGGATGAGCCTTGAACATTTTAGTGGGTGCACTGTAGGTTTCTGCAGTTTCATCTCACAATTGACAGAAGAGTCTGTTTCCAAGCTGTATAACTCTATGACTCTCTATTTAAATTTCACTTAAATTACTGAAAGTGTTAAGTATCCAGCTGTAGTTAGCTGGCTGCACATCACTGGTCAAAACCTTTTGGCTCAGCTTTTGCATGGTAAACATGTTCAGAAGAATAATTGTGGCAATGAAATTACACATCAGTTCAAGTTGACAATTTAAGGTGAATAGGGGGCATAAATCATGTTAAAAAGAAAGATGTATTTAAATAGCATCTTTTATCACCTAAGGATATCCCAAAGTGCTTTACAGCCAGTAAAACATTTTTAAAGTGTACTTGTTGTTGTCATGTAGATAATGTAGCAGCTAAAACAATAACTGTCATACCAGGGATTGGAACCCTGAAGTACTGTGGACATTTTCAACTTGCAATTCCAGATGTGTTTTTAAAAGAGGGCTGATACAGCCAACAAAAGCTGCAAATGTAAATTTATTAGATGACTGGAAAGAGACCCACAAAACGTCACACCTATTAATATGAAGCAAGCTTCCAGCAACAACCCTTTAAAGTGAGGGGAAGAGGCATGTCAAAGTAGACTAGACTAGACTCTCAGAGTCATAGAGTCGTAGAGATATACAGCAGGGAATCAGACCTGTCGGTTGAACATGTCCATGCCAATCAGACACCCTATATAAATCTAGTTCCATTTGCCAGCATTTTGCCCATAGCCCTCGAAACCCTTCCTATTATAATCCATCCAGATGCCTTTTAAATGTTGTAATCTTACCAGCCTCCACCACTTCCTCTGGCAGCTCATTCCATATACGCACCACCCTCTGCGTGAAAAAGTTGCCCCTTAGGTCCCTTTTATATCTTTCACCTCTCATCCTAAACCTATGCCCTCTAGCTTTGGACTCCCCTACACTGGGAAAAAGACCCTGCCTTGTTACCCTATCCATGCCCCTCATGATTTATAAACATCTATAAGATCACCCTTTAGCCTCCAAAAATCCAAGGAAAATACCCCCAGCTGTTCAGCCTCTCCCTATAGCTCAAACACTCCAATCCTGGCAACATTCTCATAAACCTTTCCTTAACCCTTTCTAGTTTCACAACATCCTTCCTATAGCAGGGAGACCAGAATTGCATGCAATATTCCAAAAGTGCCCGAAACAATGTCCTGTACAGCCACAACATGATCTCCCAACTCCAAAACTCAATGCAATGACCAATAAAGGCAAGCACACCAAACGTTATCTTCACTATCGTGTCTACCTGTGACTCCACTTTCAAGGGACTATGAACCTGCACTCCTTGCTCAGCAACACTCCCCAGGACCTTGCCCTGATTTGCCTTTCCAAAATGCAGTACCTCACATCTATCTAAATTAAACTCCATCTGCCACTCATTGGCCCATCTGATCAAGATCCCATTGTACTCTGAGGTAACCTTCTTCACTGTCTACTACTTCTCCAATTTTAGTGTCATCTGCAAACTTACTAACCACACCTCCTATGTTCACATCCAGATCAGTTATATAATGACAAAAAGCAATGGACCGAGCACCAATCCTTGTGGCACACTGCTGGTCACTGACTTCCAGTCTGAAAAGCAACCCTCCACCACCACATCTGTCTGCTACTTTTGAGCCAGTTCTGTATCCAAATGGCTAGTTCTCCCTGTATTCCATGTGATCTAACTTTGCTAATCAGTCTACCATAAGGAACCTTGTTGAATGCCCTAGTGAAATCCATGTAGATTACATCCACCACTCTGCCCTCATCAATTACTTCTTCATTATTTCATTCATTACTTCTTAAAAAAACTCAATCAAGTTAGTGAGGCATGATTTTCTACGCACAAAGCCATGTTGACTTTCTATAATCAGTCCTTGCCTTTCTAAATATATGTAAATCCTGTCCCTCAGGATTCCCTCCAACAACATGCCACCACTGATATCAGGCTCACCGGTCTATAGTTCCCTGGATTTTCCTTACCATCTTTCTTAAATAGTGGCACCATGTTAGCCAACCTCCAGTCTTCCAGCACCTCACCTGTGGCTATCTGTGATACCAATATCTCAGCAAGGGGCCCAGAAATCTCTCCCCTCGCTTCCCACAGAGTTCCAGGGTACATCTGATCAGGTTCCCAGGGATTTATCCACCTTTATGCATTTTAAGATGTTCAGCACCTCCTCATCTGTAATATGAACATTTTTCAAGATGTAGCTATTTATTTCCCCACATTCTCTATCTTCCATATCCTTCTCCAAAGTAAACACTGATGCAAAATACTCGTTTAGTATCTCACCCATCTCCTGTGGCTCCACACACAGGTGGCTTTGCTGATCTTTAACAGGCCCTATTCTCTCCCTAGTTACCCTTTTGTCCATAATGTATGTATAAAATCCCTTTCGATTCTCCTTAACCCTATTTGCCAAAGCTTATCTCATGTCCCCTTTTTGCCCTCCTGATTTCCCTCTTGAGTATACTCCTACTGCCTTTATACTCTTCAATGGATCCACTCAATCCCTGCTGTCTTTACTTGACATATGCTTCCTTCTTTTTCTTGACCAAAACCTCAATTTCTCTAGTCATCCAGATTCCCTACACCTACCAGCCTTGACCTTCACCCTAACAGGAACATACTGTCTCTGGACTCTGGTTATCTCATTTTTGAATGTTTCCCATTTTCCAGCCACCCATTTACCTGTGAACATCTGCCCCCTATCAACTTTTGAAAGTTCTTGCCTAATACCGTCAAAATTGGCCTTCCTCCAATTTAGAACTTTAACTTTTAGATCCAGTCTATCCTTTTCCATCGCTATATTAAAATTAATAGAATTATGGTCATTGACCCCAGAGTACTCCCCCACTGACACCTCAGTCACTTGCCCTGCCTTATTTCCTCAGTAGGTCAAGTTTTGCACCTTCTCTAGTAGGTATATCCACATGCTGAATCAGAAAATTTTCTTGTGCACACTTAACAAATTCCTCTCCATCCAAGCCCTTAACATTATGGCAGTCCCCGTCTATGTTTGGAAAATTAAAATCCCTGACCATAACCACCTTATTATTCTCACAGATAATGGAGATCTCCTTACAAGTTTGTTTCTCAATTTCCCGCTGACTATTGGGGGTCTATTGTACAATCCCAATAAGATGATCATCTCTTTCTTATTTTTCAGTTCTACCCAAATAACTTCCCAGGAATATCCTCCCTAAGTACAGCAGTAATGTCATCTTTAATCAAAAACGTCACTCCCACTCCTCGCTTGCTCCCCTTTCTATCCTACCTATAGCATTGATACCCTGGAACATTAAGCTGCCAGTACTGTCCATCCCTGAGCTACGTCTCTGTAATTGCTATGATATCCCAGGTCCACATTTCCAACCATGCCCTGAGTTCATCTGGCTTACCTGTTCGGCCTCTTGTATTGAAATAAATGCAGTTTAATTTATCAGGTCTACCTCATTCTCTGCTTTGTTCCTACCTGCCCTGACTGTTTGACTTACTACTTTTCTCAATTTTATCAGGCTCAGACTGCTCTTTCCTCACCATCTCCCTGGGTTCCACCACTTCCCCCACCTTTCAAGTTTAAATCCTCCTGAACAGTACTAGCAAATCTCCCTGCCAATATATTAGTCCCCTTTCAATTCAGGTGCAATCCATCCTTCTTATACAGGTCACTTCTACCCCAGAAAAAATTCCAATGATCCAAAAATGTGAATCCTTCTCCTCTGCACCAGCTCCTCAGCCTCGCATTCATCTGCTCTATCCTCCTATTCCTGCCCTCACTAGCTTGTGGCAGTGGAAGTAATACAGATATTACTACCCTTGAGGGCTTCCTTTTTAAATTCCTGCCTAACTTCCTATATTCTCTCTTAGAATCTCGTCCTTATCTCTTCCTATGTTGTTAGTTCCAATGTGTGCAATGACATCCTGTTGGTCCCTCTCCCCTTTGAGCATATTCTGCACCCTCTCTGAGATATCCTTGATCCTGGCACCAGGGAGGCAACATACCATTCTGATGTCTCGCTGTCGGTCGCAGAAACATCTGTCTGTGCCTCTGAGTAGAGAGTCCTCTATCAAATTGACTGCTTGAAACATGGCGTACTCCTCGTTACATTAGAGCCAGTCTCAGTACCAGAAACCTGGCTGTCAGTGCTCATTCCCCTGAGAGTCCATCACCCCCTACATTTTCCAAAACAGCATAGTTGTTTGACAGGGGGATAGCCACAGGAGACTCCTGCACTACCTCCCTCCGTCTCTTACATTTCCTGGAGGTCACCATTCTACCTGACTGTACCTTTTTCTCTTTCCTGTAGCTGCTATCCATCACACCTCCTAGCTCCTGTAAATTCCTCATTGCCTCTGACTGCTGCTCCAACCGATCCATGCGATCCAATAGGATTCGCAACCAAGCACACTTCCTGCAGACATAATCATCAGAAACATGGAAACTCTCCCTGATCTCCCACATCTGACAGGAAGAGCACATCACTCTACTAAAGGCTTTCTTTGCACCTTTACAATCTACTGACCCAGAAAACAGTGCTCTTTTACTGCTCTAAAAACACTGCTCTAGGCTAACTTAGTACCTAGCTTAATCAAGAGACAGATCTCAATAAAAAATATAATCTTGAGACTATAAATATAACAAGGGGCTGACTACCTTCTGCTCAACAGCAAGACAATGCAGATAGAGGCTATTACGCTCATTGTGTCTGCACCAACCCTCCAAAGAGCATCCTTTTCAGACATGCACCCCCATCCCCGAGACCTCTTATTAACCATGGCTAATCCATCTACCCTGCACAACCCTGGACTCTTCAAGGCAATTTAACACGGCCAAACCTTACCAAATCGGCGCTCAGAACCTTTTATTTTGGTTAGAGGAGGAGGAGGATGGGTGGGAGACACTACCTAAGTAGTGTTTCGGGTAAAGCAACCGCCCAAATATATTACCTCACTTACTCAGCCGTCCTGTGTCCGCTCCTGCTCAGCATGTGCTCCGCCTATTCACGAGGTAAGTTTTTAAAGGATTAACTTACCTTCCCGGCAGCCCCCTGGTCCTCGCTCTCACTGCTGCTGCAAAAATGGAGGCCGCTGATCCCACGAGGTAAGCTTTTAAACAATTAACTTACCTTCACTGCAGCCCCCTGGTCCTCGCTCTCACTGCTCCCGCTGCTGCTGCAAAAATGGAGCTAGGAGTGGGAGAAGTCAGCTAGCTAGCAGATAAACAGGAACAAAGGAAAACCAAATAACTCTCACTCTCAATGTTGGAATTCAAACACAGTCAAAAAGATTCAGAACTATAGAATCTAAGGTTTATCTCATGGAAAGCAAATGTATCTTTCGGACGATCTTGTGCATATGTACTCACTACCAAACAGAACAGTTTGTATTTACAAGGTTTAAAGTAATCAAATTCCATTTCATTACCTGCTCTGATGGTGCTTGGGTCACTTGCAAAGATAGATCACTTGCTATGTGTATTACATTCACCTCTATCGAGGTTCTAGAAGATGCACCTGAATTCTCGAGCAATCTTTTAGTCACATACATTGCTGCACACATAAGAAGTGCTTCCAAAAACTCCAAGAAAACCATCTAAATAAAAAGAATTGCTGTTCAATAAGCATTTAATAAGATATTTATTATGTTTATGTATTCTTTAATACGAGAGGTAAACTTCATAAGTTTGTTTTTGATATTTTTCACAAGGTTTTGAAAATAAAGATGGGAAATTGCAGAATGTTCCAAAGCCCTTCACACCCAATCAAATGCTGCTGCAAAGTGGTTACTGTGGTAACGTAGTCAAACACAGTTGCCAATTTAGGCCCAGTAGCATATGTTTATACAATATTAATAATACAGAAGCCCCTTCAAGTCTTTATTTGTTGCATTTTTGTCCCTGAATCTGAACAGTCATGGGTAGAAACCTCTAACTTTTTAAAATGAAGACCTACTGTACCTCGATGTTCATGTTATTATAAGTTCCATCAGATACTGCTGGGTTATCCTCAGACAAGATCTGTACTACCTGGGTTGCTGTTAGATCCTTGCTAAATAAATTTAGATCCTGCAATTACAGAATGAAATGCATAACAGGATAATTGCACTTTTATAAATTATATAAAGTACAATTATATAAAGTTTAGCACATTTAATTGTAAAGTATCATATTATTTACCATGAACATTCACCTCCCACTGGGACAGAATAAATGGCCAGGTTACTGGCATCTGTTGATTAACTTTTACTTAACCTATTTTTCTAATCAACCTGTTCAGAGATGTTATCACACACCTCTGGAGCAGGTGAGACTTGAACCTGGGCCTCCCAATCCAGGGGTAGGTATACTACTACTGCATTACAAGAAGGTCTCTATTTGATGACTATCCACCGATCCTGATTTGAAACACATTGGATTAGGGCAGGATTAGGTACGCACAGTTCAATGCTCGCTATCTCAGTTCACCTCAGAAAGTTGCTTGAACTGGATTCTAGAGGTCCAATTAGCACTCAAAATTTTGATCTGGAGAGATGGTAGAAAATTTTATCACCTAATTCCTAAGTTGCTATAGTTCTGAGAGTAACTAATACTGTTGCCCATTACCGTATTCCAGTGTCAAATAAAGTACAACTGGACATAATTCTTTTCAATATAGTCACTTGTCTCGACTTGCTGGTTTTGGATGTCTACACCTGAAACTTGAATGAGGTAGCATTTAGATGGCTCACTTATATTAAGTATGTTTGGTCTAAGTGTTCTTTAGGGGCTTACATGGTATTGTATGTATGAGGGTAGAAGTCTGGCCTAATGTGAAGCATTTCGTAGAGTAAACAAATGCAGTTTATTGCATCTCTCCAACTATTTGCAGGCTATAAGAATAGGCTCTGTGCTACTGCAATGACTGTTGATACACCTTGCCTTGGGTCTGTCTCCCACAAGACCCTATTTTACTCTTCCACCAAGTCCTAAAGACATCATCATAGCTGGTGAAATTTATTGCACTCAATTAGGTATTTTTCACGCCATTTTAGACCCATAAATAACATTTCCCTCAATCTGTAATGTGTTGAATTTTATGTTCAGGTAAGATAATGAGGTGAAAAAGCTGCAGTGGTTTAAGAAGGCAGCTCACCACCACATTCTCAAGGGCAGCTAGGTATGGATAACCAAATGCTGGCCAACCAGCGATACCAATACCCCATGACTTAAATAAAAAATATTGGCTTTATAGTGTTTAGGAGCGTCACACTAATTTAGAAAAACACAGTAGTCAAAATAATAGTGCCAAAGTTTTGATGTTGTTTGCCTCAAAACTGTACTTAATAAAAGGAAGATTAGATTTCTACAGCACCTTTTATGACCACTGAATGTCTCAAAGTTATTTAAAGCAATAAAATTCATTTGAAATATACACTAATTCCTTGTTATATGTGGATCCGCAGGTAGTGAAGCTATGTACTTGCGAGAGCAGCCTCAGATCTGATTGTTTTGTTTGCTTAATGACATGTCCTAAAAGATCATGTGGTCCTTCACAGTACTTTAAGGACTTCAATAATAGCGTTTCTATGTTATCTGCAGGAGATCCATGTCCCTTTCACCCATGGATAACAAGAATATGATATAGGCACTCTTGTAATTTAAGAAATACAGCAGCCTAATTTCACACAGTAGTGGTCTCAGCAATGAGATAACGATCAATTATTCTTGTATAATGATATAATTTTAAGGGATTGATATGATGGTACTACAGGACGAGTCAAATTTCAAAATTAAATCTGGCTTGACAGATCATATTTTTATTATTTTAGTTAACATTGTGGTGAGACTTTGGAATATAATCACACGAAGTTGCAATATTACTTTAACAACAGAACTGATATTTATTACACAGAAGGGCAAAAAAAAGGCAAACCAAGCTATCCAGATATTGAAGACAGTTTGGGAAAATCTTAAAATACACAGCAAAGCAAAGATTTCAGCCTATTTCCAAACATCATCATCTTACAGAAAATTAAGTCCAGAGAAATTACCTCTCTATATCAAATCAATTCTACTTAATTGATTCACCCTGGTTTCTGTGACATCTTCTCATACGAGTATTTACAAAACTATGTGCTTAAAATTTATCAGATTCTGTTACAGTGCAGATTTCTAAGCAATTCCATGATTTATAAACTTCACAAATTAAACTTCTGCTGAGGCAATACATTCCATGAACCATTCTGGAAAACTCCTTTCCAGCTAAGGAATGATATTTGCTTCTTACTCCCATTGGTCTCTTCCAAATTGCCCTGAAACCTTTCCATCCCTGGGTTTTCTAAATTAAATTCAATCCTTGACAATTGTGAACTGAAAACAAGCCAAAGGCCTTCAATATTTATCCACTTGTCTTAAACCAGTGCAATATAAACAAATTTCCATTAACTCTCCAGAATTCACAGTCATCTGCTGTCTGATACATACTGGAATGGCTCACTATTTCAGAAGGACTACTTGACTTTTTTTTTTAGAAAACCCCTTCAAAAAAGTAACCAGTACCCGTATGCCATTATTTTGCATCAAAACCTCTAAAAATTATATACACACATATAAAACTGTACACTTTTCATCGTAAGACAAATATTATTGACAACATTGTAGATAACTTTCCTGTTCTTCTGCAGAATAGTGCTGTGGGATCTTTTGTGTTGATCTGCAAGAGCAGATGGTCTCAGTTTAAAGGCTTATCTCAAAATGACGCTTCCAACAATCCAGCACTACTACAATTTTACCCTGATGAGTCAGTCTAGACTTTGTGCTTAAATCTATGAAGTGAGAACGACATCCACAAACTTCTGACTTAGAGGTTACAGTGCTACCAGCTGAGCCACAACCGATAATAAGCAAATCTTAGCCCTTCCCAAAAAGAACCTCTTGTCTATTACGTTGGGAGATCTCTCATCCTTTCTGGCTGTGTATATAGAATGACAGCAAATTGAGTATGAACTTAAGGCACTGGAGAATGAACAAGCTGTACAAAGTCCTCAAGCCTATCCTGCCATTTAAGAAATGCTCATATGGGTTTACATGTGGAGGAGCACAGACCACAGCCCTATACATAAGTTGCTTAGACCATTTATGGAAGGGATAACTACCACTGCACACAAGATAATATCCACATTAAGAATCTAAAATAATAACATAGCAATGGTCAGTGAATGCTGATATTCGTTAATATAAAATTATTTATATATTATATATGCTATTCAATACATTATTGTTGCATAAAGACTGAGTGTACCTTGAGCATCCATATAAAGTGTCTCATTGTCATGATATAGGTATTGGGTGGCCTACGGGTTTGTTCGCAGTAGACTCTGTACACCTCCCAACATTTATTTATATAGCCAAGTGCAATTACAACACATTGATTTTCTCGAAACAAATTCCCTGCATAAAAAGGAACCCATTAGAATTAAGAGGACAAAGAGAAAACAGCATGGTTGGTAACATTTATTTTGTATCTTCTCAAATTTTTCTTTTACATATCACTAGTACTACGACTTCCCTTGAAATATCAAAACAATTTAATAACCAACTCACAAGCCAATAACATTAATTTCCTATTACAAAATAGAATAACATTTCCAACAAGAATCTTTCATTGACTATCAAACTGCTTAAATGATCAGTCCAGTTCTCACCACTGCTTCTTCACAAAAGGAATTTTCAGCATTAAGATGCTGGGTGAATGCTAAATTCCTCATTACAAAGTAACTTTGTAAACAGATGGGATATCTGTCCTGCTCAACATAATTGTCTATTATGCACATATCTTCACAAGAAGTTTCACTATATGGAAGTGCTGATGGGCATTTTTGAGACAAGTTTTTTTTAACACTGTAAATAAAACTTTTGTTAGTAAAAATTGAGATTGTATTTTAACTAATTGAATGCCAGAGGTATGGATGAAATTACTTTCACGTGCAGCATTGATAGGGAGTGCATCCAGGACACATGCACCAACTGGATTGTCTTGATGGCAATGAGATTCATTGTGTGAAATATGGTGTAGCAATCTACAAGTTAAAGAGTAATTGCCTTTACTTGAATAAGGAGCATTTTACCTTCATATCGGAGGCAACATAAATGAATATATGGGTGGGCTGTTGTGGGACAGTGATAATGTCCCTACCTGTGGGCCAAGACCCATCTGCTCTTGAAGTGCTTAATAACAACTATGAACAGATTGACTAGAAGATATTTGTAAATGAATCCCCTATAATTCACAAGTGACAAGTGAATGCGGAGATAGTAGGAACTGCCGATGCTGGGGAACCTGAGATAACACGGTGTAGAGCTGGATGAACACAGCAGGCCAAGCAGCGTCAGAGAAGCAGGAAAGCTGACGTTTTGGGTCGAGACCCTTCTTCAGAAA